CCTAGAATCTTTTGAGCACCATTTGCAACACATTGTATAGACCTCATGCTTGAGGCTCTGGGCGGTTTAACTGATATTTCAAGTGCGGTGAAGAAGGCCAAGTTAGTTACAAATTTCATTTATAGCCACCCTCAACATGATGCGTACCTTTACAAAGAAGAAAAAGATTGTGAGGCCTGAGGTTACGAGATTTGCAACCTGGTACTTATGCCAAGATAGCATACATTCGAGGAGAGTGCAGTTGAGGTAAATAATTACCTCGGATGACGAGCTAGCATGCAAGTAGTCTAAGGATCAGGTTGGGAAGAAGGTGAGAGATATTATCCTTTCTAAGGCTTTTTGGAGAGGGGTGAAAGGCGCTCTTAAGGTATTTTTTCTTCTTATCGAAGTCCTTCGCATGGTTGATAGTGACAAGCCTTCTATGGGCTACATATATAATGCTATGGAGAAATGCAAAAGATAGATAGCCCAAAATTTAAATGATGACGAAACCCGCTACAAGCATGTTTGGGAGATTATTGATGAGAAGTGGGATAGGCAGCTACATCGGTCATTGCATGCAGCTGGTTAGTACTTGAACCCAGCTTTTTTTTACATTGACAAGGATATACAAACAAATGACACAATTATGAATGGATTTAATGAGTGTGTAGATGTGCTAGTCCCTGATCCTGATATGCATGATATTATATGAGCTGATAAGCTGATAAATTATAAGTGCTCATTAAAGTCTTTTGGGAGTCCAATGGCGATGAGGCAAAGGATCAAAATTAATCCAGGTATTAATAATATTCTTAAGTTCAATAAGTTCAAGTAATTAAGTAATTCTATTATTTATTTATGATTTTTTTTTATAGCTTTGCAGCCCATTGGTGGAGCCAACATGGGTGTAGTTCTCCAAAAATTTACAAAAGTTGGCCATTCAGATCTTAGACCTAACAACTTCTTCATTCGGTTGTGAGCGCAATTGGAGTACTTTTGAAGGGGTAAGGCCGTAACTAAGGGTAATTTGTATAATTTCATAAATAATACATGAACCATAGATATTAGATTTGAATTAGTTTCATTTGATTTTGTTAGATTCATACCAGGAAAATGAACATGCTTGAATAAAGGGGCTCAATGACCTAGTCTATGTCAAGTACAATCGATTCTTGAAGGACAGGTTTGCTAAGAGAGATGAGAGAGACCCCATCAAATAAGAAAATATGGACCATGCTATGGAGTGGTTAGTTGATGATGATGAGGTCAAGGGGCATGAAGGATTGACATGGGACATGGTCATGGATACTTTAGGGACATCAGCTGACCCTCCTAGGGCTACTAGATCTTTTGCACAGAGAATAAGGGTGGAGGAAGAGGAGGAAGAAGAGGTTGATTTAGAAGAGACAGAGGAGGATGAGGATGACCAATATGTCGAGGAGGGTGATGACTTTGTCGACTCTGATGAATATGATGCCAATGCAGCTGACCCAAGATTTTCTAATGATGAATGAATGATGAATGTTGAAGTTTGAACTTTGATTGAAGTATTGAACTATAGAAGATTCTTTTGAGTCTTCAAGTATTACTTTCATAGTTTCATAATTCAATTTTATTTTCTTCCTCATGGTGGTGTACTGCAGTACTGGTTTGATACTATTTGGTAACTTGGTTTGATAATTTGGTTGGTTGGAAAATTTTAAGTTTTATTTGGATATGGAGTATGAACCGACTTATAAATTATGGTTATGCCTATGGAGTGTGTGCTAAATGCTAATATGTAGTATAATTTGAATTATGTACTGCAGTACATATAATTGATACTGACATAATTGCAGAATCCTTTTTGGATTAAACTGGGCCACCCAGGTTCTGGGCGCCCGCCTAGGCACTGGGCAGCCTGGACCCCCCATGCCGCCTAGCGTTTTTTGAAACACTGAATACATCTTTAGAATCTTGGACCCATTATGTTTGGAAAGTCGTTTCCAAATTATCGAATCTGAACTCCACCAAAGATTGAATCTTGAGTCCCACATCGAGTGATATATGATTCCACATGTAATGAGTCTCGTTTCGTTAGGGTTTTGAATCTAGAATCTACAACATATAGTACTTTGGTTCATAGGAGTAGGGAAGTGTGATTCAATCAATATGGAATCTCGCTTCAACCTCTACGAAATGGCAGAAGCTCCTCGCAGTCGCCTGAAAGGGCAGAAGAAGAAACAAATTGTAGCCCCCTTCCCCCTGCCCTTCTTCTTCTTCTCTCTCTCTCTCTCTCTCTCACACACACACACACACACACGCCCTACCCTCCTGCTCCCAACCCCTTGGTCCCCAAAAAATATTCCCATCATCATGTATTGAAAACCATATATGAAGTATTTGTATCTTTTAGTGTTTTTTTAATTACACAATATATAAATTGTAGCTACCGTTCGACATCAAAATCTCTCTCTTTATCCACGTGTATTGCTTTTTATTTCATGCAATATGTATTCATATGTGTGCTTGATGTTCCGAGTTCAGGCTTAATTTCTCCTCTACTATTATGGTATAATGTGAATGTGAGGACAAAAATTAACTAAAAAAAAAATATACTAGATGTAACATAAAAGAAAACCAATTCAAAGTACATAATGTCCAATGTCTATGATGGTTGTGCACTTTCTAAAGGAAATTGGAGTACAAATCTTCCCTTTGGCACTGATTCATATACAACGTTTAGTTTGCTTTTTTACTGATTATTTTTTAAAACAAACTTTTTCTTCGTCTTTTTTTTCAAACTTTTAGTGCTTTTGGCTTGTACATGACTTGGAAGATTCTACTGGGACTTACCAAGTTACTTCGATTGGGTAGGAGCCAAGTCTTGTGCCCAAGTCACGTTTTTGCATACTGCCTGTAATGATGGCCATGATGAAAGGATTAGGCATTTCAATGATGGGAAGCCACCACTTTGACACTGATGATGCAAAGAACATTGAGGTTTGCAACGGATTCTTGAGGATGGAGCACTCCTGCAGATTACAGCAGAGAAGAGGGCATCGAAGGCTTTTGACAATGTGCAGTTCCCTTTTGGGATTAGAAACTTGAACAAACATAATATTATTCTTTAGATCTCTAATTATCTATTAGATTACAATTTTTTAGCATGGGCTAACATTATGATCTCAACTAGCTTTAGTCATACACAGCTGTTGGCACCAAACACAGATTTCCATGATAGTTAGGTACCATCTTTATGTGAAAGTCCCTTTCAAAGCTTTTTTTTCATCTTTCATGTGAAAGTTCTTTGTTTTCTTATCAATGAAAAAGAAAGAAATGACATTGTCCCACTTTTGTCGAAAAAGTGCTGTACATGTCATCGACGCGGCCATGTGCAAGAACAGTGTATGCATGCTATGCATATTTTCTTTAATGTAGTGATCTTTGCACATGAATATGTATGTGGGCTGCATTGTGCATGTAGATGTGAAGTACTGGAATTCATGTGTGTAAGGGTATTTCAATAATTCTACATTCAAGGGCACAAAAATCATTTTGTACTAAATTAAGAGTTGTTCGTCTTTCGGATGAATCTCTCTCTCTCTCTCTCTCTCTCTCTCTCTCTGTGTGATTGTGTGTGTGCAGTGTTTTTATATTTTTATTATTTATGAAGTGAAGTCAAGATCTAGTGTGCCATGGCCGCAGGTGTACTTCAAAGCTACAGATCCATTCAACGAAAGATGGCAGAGTGCTTGGATAATCACTGCATTCTGGGACATTCTTGCTTTTTTGCTCCTATCAGTAATATGCTATCTCTGGGCTCCATCGCAGAGCTCCAAAAGGTAAAACCTCTCATTGGAAGTTCCCATAATTATTCATATGGGAAAATGAAACATAGAGACAGAGAGAGGGAGAGAGAGAGTTCCATGATTATCTGCCATAAGAAAGTCAATGATCATCAAAAGAGAGTCCCATATTTATCTGCCGTAAAGAGAGTCAACGATCTTCAAATAGTGAAAAAATAGTGTCAGAAATTTAATTTCCTGAAATTACAGCAAAAGAACTCCAAATTTTGTTTTTAAAATATGACTAATTTGTAGCTTTTTTTAATGAATCAGGTATGCATATTCAGATGAAGTGGGAGAAGATGGTGATGAGGAAGAAGCATTGCCTTTGGCAGAGGGCCATGTAAGATTGGTGAAGCAAGAGAAAGAAAAGAATGGGAATGGGGGAAACCCCGATGTTTTCAGCTTCGAAGAAGCGGTTGAAGAGGACAAGAGGGAATAACTCTCTGTGCTTCTTGGGGGAATATGTACTTCACCAAACTCCACTCCCATGGTAAATGGTGGTTTCAAGTATAGAGAAAAACATGCTCCTATATGTGATATTGTTCCATGTAACTGTATTCTTTTTCTAGAGTAATGTAACAGTTAGTTTGATTTTACCAAATCATTTAGGCTTACCTTCTTTGTTGGTATTTTAAAAATTCTGTGGCTTAAGCAATGTGTGCTTCCCAGACGAACCCAAAAGCGAACTCAACAGGGTGAGGAAGGGATTCCTGTGAGTTTGCGCGCTTTGCTTTCTGGCTGCTTATGTGTTTATTCTGGTATGGAGCTAGCTGTCGACAGTAAAGCTATAGCATGCCTGAACCCTCCCCTTTGCCAGCAGGGGCACAGTTCCATGATGAGAGGATTTTTTGGGAAACATCTGTCTCATGCAACTGAGATTTCATGTCGAGTGATTGGGAATCAGGGTTAAAAAAAATGTGGATCCAAATTCGGAAGGAACCTGGGCTGAATTCCTTACACAATCAAGGATAATTCATATGATCACCATATTCTGCGAACTGGGTGATTTGGTTCGTTGAATTGCTGATCCAGATTGGTGATTTTGTAAATTCCATTTTCTAATATTTTAATAATAGGTGATCCAAGTCGGTTCAGTAGAGGGCTGAGCCAATACCTAATATTAGGATTTGGGTTCTGGTTGAAACCTAGTGGGCTACATAAGTTTTACACATTTGTTGAGTTCTATTGTAGTACAAGCGCTGATGTTGCTGAATGAAAGTAGTCAGATATGGAATCAATATAATATACATTTTAATGCCCAGAGGAGCCAATTCAAATGGTTGCGCTCAAACCAGTTGAACCTAACGATTAATCACTCAACATCCTACCTTTGGTCCTTTTCTTCTTTTTGAGGTGCTCTTTGAGCAAAATGATTGTTTAATTGTTCATCATTTTGCTAATAATCATCTTGTACTTTGGGTTACTCTTTCTCCCTCTCAAGGCGTGCAAAGACCGGACAAGATCATTAGACAACAAAAAAATGCTGTAAATAAATTCCAGCAGGCTGAAACAACCATCTATTCACCTAACAAAACAATCCAAGATTTTTTTTCCTCGCATACGCCAAACAAAAAACTCCCAAGTTTCCCACCCCCAACTACTGAACTCTTTTCTGGCAAAATGAAAGATTGTACCAAAAACATTCAAAAAAGAAAATTCACAGAAAAAAGAAATTGAACCAAAATTCGTGAGAGAGAGAGAGTTACGAAGAGTAACAAGCAAGCAGGCCATCAATGGATGGGGCTGCGGCAGGGTCGACAAACCACACGAGGCACCCCTCATTCAGGGAGACCAGCGGCGCTACAGCAGAGAGAGGTGACACACCACCAGTGGCAGCAATGATGACGGCGACATTTGCAGCAGAATTGAGAACAGGTAGTGTGAGTGCGATGCGCCCATGGTGTTTATCAGTGTGGACTACCCATTGGGACGAATAAGAAGTAGAATCTTGGTAATAAAAATGGTCGGGAGAAGAGTGGAAACAGGTTGTTGTGGTGGTGGTGGTGGTGGTGGTGGTGCAGAGGAGGACAAGATCGAAGCAGGGGCAGTCTCGGTGAGGGGAGACTTTGATGGTGTGGTTGCGCACTGCCTGCCGAAGGGCGAACTCGTACTCTTCGGCCGCTTCCTCAGCCGACAAGGTGCGCTCGGTTATGCATGCCACCTGACTGGGAACAATGGGGACCTGCATACACCATCATGGCAGCTGGCTCAACAAGCAAACACACAGACTCGTCTCTCTCACTGCACATTGCCTTTATTATTGCCCCAAGATTCACCAACAGCGTGCAGGCGCATCTCTCATTCTTGTTTGCCCAAGAAACACCTTCTTGCCTGGCAAATCACTTTCTGAAGTTCATTGTTTTATTGCTCTCTGTTTTTTTCCCGAGTCTTGTAACTTATTCGCCCCGGGGTGCCACTCTGATCAAGGTCGACTTGCCAACCGGATGATTCGACCGAGTCCAGGTCAAGGTCCAAGTCTGGATCCCGGCAAATCGGATCTAGGTCCAAATGACTCAGACCTAACCTGTCTGGGTCCGGGTCTGGGGTTGGACCGATCTCGGGTCTAATCTACGTTGACCCGACCCTATATTATATATATATATAAATTATATAAAAGTATTTATTAAAATACAAAAATTATTATTATTATTTTAATTTTTAGACACGGGTCTAAGTCACTTGGACCAAACTTAGGTCTGGGCCCATGTGGAACCTTGTCAAGTCGGTTCCAGGTTAGGGCCAACCGGGACCCAACCGGCACCCACCCAAGATTCATCAAACACCCTCATCTCTCATTGGAAAATTATACAATGTAACTATTTACCTTTGGTACAAGAGGCTCATAAATAATCTTGACCAGTTGATGAAAAATTGGGTAGTTATATTTATTCCATTGACCAAGCTCAAAATTCAAAAAATATTTATTTGAAATTTGTGAAATAACCAAGTTATTAGATTTCACATTGGATGGTCACATGTAATTTTGATCTTCTTGTACCAAAAGTAAATGACCTCATTATATGCAATCTCTTCAGAGTAGTACACTTTCAGAGCGTTTCCAAGGTCTAAAAAATGCCGATTTGAATTGGGTGCCACTTTTTTAGAGTGGTGGGTTTTCAAGGTTTAAAAAAATATTGATTTCGATCGAATCGCCTGATCCGGTCCAGTACTATGTATAATTATTCTAAACACAAACCTAAAACTTGAAAAACCAAACTATTTCTTAAAATATCTCCATCCAAAACCTAAAATCTCTCTACCTAAATCTTCATATCTACCTTGTTCTCTCTATTCAACTCCATGCAGCTGTCTCCCCTTCTATTACATCGTGTTCTGAGATCTCAAGAGAGTGAGCGAGAGACTCTTCAATGACAGTGAAATAAAGAAAACTTGCATAAATAAGATATATTTTAAAAGAGAGGGAGAGAAGCATTCATAAAAATTAGTATAAGAAAAAACACAAAAGATAACATAAAATTGGTATAAAAAACACAATTAGTATCACAAAGTAGTAACAAAAATAAAATAAAATTAGTATCCAAAATCACAATTAGTACCATGAAAAAAAAGTGTCGTAACCCGATGTTGGTCCCACCTACGTATGGTCCCAGGAGGGGTAATATGAAAACGATCTTAACCTTTAGCTATTTATGTACAAAGTGGCAGCTCTCAAGATTCAAACCCGCACTCTTTACGCTGGCTACCCGAGCTTTTTACTGTCACATCAAGTGACGACCCCTAATCAATACCACGAAATCAATACTGAAAATCACCCTCGCTTGTTTCTTCACTAAAAACACGAAATGAGTATAAATAATTTTTTTGTTATCAAATTTAGTATAAAAAATTAGCATCAAAATTAATATTAATAAACACCCAGACAAGAAAAGGCATCTCAATATTAATGTAATTTTGTAAAATACTAAAGTCCATAAAGCACTATCCCTCTTTTTTAGTTTTGGAAACTCAAGAAAGAATATTTAATATTTTTTTAAAATATTTTAAGGCCAAATCAGATCAATCTGGGCAATCGACTGACCCGGACCACCAGGTCAATTTCTAGGATGGACGATCCAGTCACAAATCTATATTTTTAAACAGTGATTTTTCTATACATCTTATTAAGCTCAAAATTGAGATATCCGCTCTTCTCACCATCATGTACTTATAAAAGCATAAAAAAATAATTAAAAAATAAATAATCAAACAAACCCCTTAATCTTGTTAGAGTATACTTTATTTTTTATTTTAAAACTCTCTTTCTATTTATATAAAATATAGAGGACTATTTTTAAATTTTAAAAATAAAATACAATTTTTATGTGAATCATTTTCATTTTACAGGAAAAAAAATGAACATACAAAAGAATAATCTCCCATTCTCTTCCAACACCTCTCTCTCTCTCTCCCTAGCTTTTTATGAATTTTTGACTCTATAGATAAGGACATGGTTTTTATGAGTCCATCTAGAAATGCGTCAACTCTTAAAAATCAAATTTTTTGATGGATTTTTTTACCCAATTTTTAAGAACATGTAGTCTCTAACATGGAGCTAATGAATATAACAAAATAAATAAATTTTAAAAAATAAAAATAATAATTTTATAAAAAAATATTTGAACAATTAGCTTGAATTTTTTCTAGAGGGGCTTCCTATTTACATCCATTTTTAAAATGGACACTTTTATACTGGAGTAGGTTGGCAACATTTGATTGGGCCAGACAGCCAGCCCAAAGCGGGGCCCACATTAGTAAGTAGACCTTGGGTTCAAAATTTTGTCGTCCCAAAAAAGAGGTAGAATAGTGCTCTGACTCTTTTGTCTTTCTCTTCTCTTTGGCTTTTCGCTCCTATCCAACAATTTAGGGTAAATGATTGGGGCTCTTTTGGGGTTCATATGGACTGTGGCTCCCTCAAGGGAAACAGATTCCTGCCCTTTAAATTTTTGAATGATTCCTACCGGCTGTCACTTGCTAGGACCAATGTCCTTATTAACTGAGTTTCTTCGGATACTCCCTTCAATAACCCCTTCAACATTTATTGGGTACCAGTGTAAAAAGCCACCACTTGGGGGCTCGGTCCCTACCTTAACTGAGTAACTTGGGCCGGGTCTAAGTTGCTTGGCCTGAGTTGAGCCGGGTCTTGGGGAAGCCCCAAAAGTGTAAAAAGTAAAAAATACACAAATTCCCGAAAAAGAGGAAAAATATGTTTGAAATGAAATTAAATAAAACATATCCAAATGAAGTTAATAAAGTAATAGAAAAATAGATTAAAAAAAAAACACTTTAGAAATAATTCAAAAAAATATTTAAAAAATAATCTAAAAAAAAAATGTAAAAATAAGTATTCATGATCAAAACACTTCTCAATTTTTGCAAAAAATGGTAGAAAACATAAAAAAACCTATTATAAATAAATTTTTATTTTATTGGATATTTCATATTTTTAAAAATATCTTTTTAAGATCCCCAAGACTATCAAACTCGAGGATACTCTTGCCGGGTTGGCGAGTCCGAGTTAGCATGCTGAGTTATCAAATACTATTGGATATTCATTACTCTTACTTTATAATGGTCCCATTACATATTTTCTCAAATATGTATTCTACGATGCCCAATAACCAAACAATGTACTAAGAATTTGGGTGGCTACATTTATTTCATTGACCAACTTCAAAATTCAAAAGAAATTTTTTCAAACTTTATGACATACCCTATCTATCGGATTTCACATTGGATGGTTGTAAATACCAAAAGCAATCGATCTCATTGTATACAATCCTTACATATTTCTATAAAAAATTAATAGATTCCATTAAGTGCTGAACATATCACACCTGATATTATTCCCCACGAGGTTAAAATTACTATAGAGCAAAAGTATAAATATGAAAATATAATGAATAGATTAAGAAAACACTTAAGCCACACAAAGCCAAAGATCATACTCTCTCTCTCTTAATAATATTCACATATTCTCATGTTCTTTAGCAAAAGTAAAACCTAATGCCAAAAGAAAAGCCAATTTTTGGATTGTCCATGTTCAATATTTTAATTTTTTTCCTTAAATACTCACCCGGTGATTCAAAGTTGAATACCACAATTTAAAACAGAAAGAATCCCTCTTGAATACGGATCCCGCCCATGTATTGCAGAGCATGCTTTATTTTCTTTTTTTTCTCTAAAAAATATATACAAATTTAAAAAAAATATAAAAAATATATTTAAAGCAAAGCACATCCCAATGAAGCGGAAAAGTAGTGAAAGAAAAGAAGAATTTACAAAAACGGATTTTGTGCACATGAGCATTATCAAAATTTTATAATAAAAAAAGTAAAATATAAATGGCTAAAACACTCTCCGATCTTTACCAAAAATTGATAAAAAAAAACATTTAAAAACACATTACAAACAAATTCTTTATTTTTGTATATATATTTATTTTTTAAATTTTTTTTTAATACCTAAACCACCAAAATCAACTAAAACCGGATAGTCCAGAGTACCCGATTCCGATTTAACCAGCTGGTTCCAAGTTCGACCGGCCGAGCTCGATGGCGAACACCGAACTAGTGTGAGACACAGTCCAACTCTCCCTCCTTTCCTTAAGAAAATTATGGTTGGCATAACAGTTTGCGAGTGCTCTCTCTCTATCTCTCTTCCGAAGATGGAGGAGAACCAGTTCATTCACCCTTCTTCTCCCCTAAAGTCCAAAACATCAACTACTTCAAAGCAAAAGCAAAAGCAAAAGAGGAGAGAGAGAGAGTGGGGTTAACAGAATCAGTCCTCACTTGCCGGATTTTCTTGATCGTCAGAAAACCACAGTAAAAGTTGAGCATGTCAGCAGAGATGAAAACGTACCCCAAATAGTATCACCAGTTTTTGCAGAGAGAGAGAGAGAGAAAACTTGGGCTGAAACGAAAACCCAAATCCCTCGACCCTCTTGCTTTTTCTCTCCTCGAAAAAAAAAAAAAACAAAGAGCATCTCCTTCGGAAATAAAAGCCGCCGTAAAATTTGGACGCCAACGTCATAATCCAGAGAGATAGAGACACTTCGGTACATGCTCGCGTGAGAGAGAGAGAGAGAGGGGAATTGGATAAGTTAGAGAGAGAAAGTGAATGAATAAAAAAAAGAACGGCAATTTACATACGGACCCTAGGTAAAATATGAAAATATTTATTTATAAGTGAAAATTACAAAAAGGTCTTTTTTTTTCATACTTACTTATCGGTCAAGTCTGAATTTTAATTTTTTTAAAAAAAGTTCATTTTTTCAATTAATTTTTTTATCTTTTTTTAAAAAAGTTACTTTTTTCCATTAGGAAAACAATGCCTCTTGGGGCACTAACTGCCCTACTAATAAAAAAAATCAAAATTCGGGATGATCAAATAAAAATTTGGAGAATATAAATAAAAAGGCGGGTTGACCTAGATCCGAAGGTAAATCACTCGAAAAAAGAATACCTTGGAAAGCAACACATCTTTAGCCTGTCTATAGTTGCTATCTGGGTGCCTCTTAGCCGCAAGTCGCTCATCAGCCCAGAAAACGTGCCATTTCGACCAGTCCACAGTTTGTTTATAAGGTCCCCCAGCTAGCTTACTGATAAATCCATCCCAATACTACGATTACTAGAGAGGTAGAGAGAGAAACTCACTCTCATTATGAAAATCATTTAGAGACAGAAGTTTTAGAGAGAGAGACCTTAAGAGAGTGATGATGGGTCCTCCTGAAAGAACAATGGCGAAAGCTCCTCTCTCTCTAACTGCGTTTTCAGAGACTTGAGCAACGTAGTCTGCAAGGCCGGTTGAGAGTTCCTCTGTGCTCTCGAATACTCTCACTAGAGGTGCTGCTCCATTGTGGCTGCTTTTCTGGTTATCCATACCTCCTCTCTAACCCTCGTCTAGGTTTCTTTTTCGGAGACCAAGCACTTTTTTTATCGTGGGGCAAAGGTCAATTTGAGAGAGAAAAGATGAGAGATGATAGATAATACATGGGATGAGCTTCCATTCAAATATATAGTGCTAGCAAACTAGATAATGCGGGCACTAGTAATAAATACCAAGTGCCTTCGTGCTTCTACTTCCATTCATTGTCTGTGTACGGAAGGAAATATGGATAATTGAATAAATGAGGTTTAAATTTTAGGGTTTTTTTTTTTTTTCTTTTATTTTTACAAAAATACCCCCAATTGACTTTCAGTATTGACGAATTTACCCAAAAAAAAGTAGTTCTTATTTCTTATTTATTTATTTTTTTTTGCCATGCTTACATATTTACGAATGCGGGCCTCTTAATTTCTGAGATGGATTTTACGATTTGATTTTTAAGGACGTGTAAGCTCTAACACGGAGATCATGAATATGAAAAAATAATTAAAATTTTAAAATTAAAATTAATAGTTATAGTAGAAAAACATTTTGACTGTTAGTTTTTATGGTTTTTAGATGAAACCTTTATTTGCATCTACCTTTAAAATGACTGCTTTACATTTTTGGGAATGCATGTGTCCAAATGCAATCCAGCCCACATGAATCAATTTTCTTTTTTTTTTGTTGTAAAATTGTTTCATGTAGGCTGGACCACATTTATACAACATGGCGTCCCAAGGTATAAAGCACTCATCTTAAAGATGGACGTAAATAGATGGTCCATCTAAAAACAATTGAAACTATTCGGTCTAAATGTTTTTTTAATAAAATTCTTATTTCTAATTCTCAAAATTTATTTATTTTTAATATTCATGATCTCTTTGTTAGAGATTACATGTCATTAATAATTAAGTCCAAAAGTCCATCACAAAACTATATGTTTAAGAGGCGACGCATTTCTACATGGGTTCATAGAAAACGTGCCCTATTTGTTTATTTATTTATTTATTTGTTTTTTTGCTTAAGCAGGCCAGGCCTGGCCCGCTCTTAAGGGGGCTAAGACCAGCTCTAGGCTGGCCGATTGAACAAAGGACTAGGGTAGGGCCAGGCTGGCCCAACCGCGCGTATTGCCACCCTCATCCCTTAACACCGTGAACCATCATCACTCGAACTTGCACAGCTACCCTTGACATTTATGTGTATAGATGCACAGGACATAACCTCATGTAAGAATAACAAACCACCTTGTGCACGTTTGTCCATGTTATATTCAGAGTGTATTGTTGTAACCCAGACTGGCCATCTGCGGTCCCTTTTCATCAACAAATTGTAAAGATGAGCTCTAATTCGGCAACTGTGGAATGGAAGGTGGGTCTCCACCATCCCTTGAAGAACCTGTTTTTCCACCTACCATCCCCTCCCCTCCCCTCCCTTAAGATGAGATTATTCTTTTGGGGTTTAGGACCGGGCTTTTTTTTGGGGTCTTGCATTTTCCTCTTGGACCTGAAATTCTCCTGTATTAGGCTATGCTTAAGGCGGGAGGGCTAATTTGATTTCTAAAAAATAAGATCTCCTTAATTCTAAACCTTCACAATGCCTTAAACGGAGGTTTCAAAGACGGTCGGTTTTTCCTATCAACTTGTCTTGTTTTTTAGACTTTTCCTCTTTATAATTTCTCTTTCCACCCTCTTCTCTCTTGCCTTAGTTTTTAAACCTTATTTTTTGTTCACTGGTTGTGCCGACACTCTTAGATGCTGCCATCGATTTGACATTGTTAGTGTATTGCCCCAACCCCGACCGATGAGCTTATTGTGGATGAGATGATGCTTCGGAGTAATAGTGAGTAGTAAAAGATCAAGCTAACATACCGTATAGGACTGGGCCTAAGTGGCTATAAGTGGTAAGTGGGGATTCTAAGTTCTTTGGTAGTGTAGGGTCATTAAGGTTTGGGTTTGAGGGGGCAGTGGTAGGTATTTTTTAAAAGTAGAATATACCGTCTCTAGTTCTTCCTCTATATCCACTCTTTTCTTTTTAGGGTGTGGTTTTTATAAGGTTGTAACTTTAAATAATCCAATTAAGACGTACCTTTAAATTTTATCAAAACATGTAATTTTGGTGAAAAAATTTCTTAGGATTATCTCAAAATCTTTTTCATATCTAATTATAAAATTTTAAACTCCAAAAATAGTTAAAATCAAATAGATCTATAAACATATGAAAATCTTGAAAATGAACGGTCTAGATAATGTATTGCAAGATGTACCATTTATAGGATTCAAAATCCTTTTTTTTTTTTTTTCAATATTTATACATCTCAATATCAAGATGATCAATTAGAGATTTTTTAACATTCAAACAATGCCAGAAGGATTTTGAGGTGCACATGTTATTCTACATTTTAAAGTTGTAAACTAATCCAAATTTTTTCTTTTTTTTTATGATAATTTACTTTTAATATTTCTATAATAAAAAATAAAAAATAAAAATAAAAAAAAAAAGAAAAAAGAGAGAGATTTGAGTTGAAAAACCCATGCACCATGTACTATTTACTTACCATTCAAACAATGCGTAGGCAAAAGGAAGGGGGATTTGATTTACACAGTTTTTTAGAGATTTTTACCTGTCGAGGGTACTATAGTAATTGTCAATCAGAGGGGTAGTATAGTAATTTGTCTGAGATGCCGTTGTTTCTTCGGGGTAAACGGAGGGTTTGACGCCATTTTTAAGGTGAGTGGGAGTTTATACGTTTTGGCAGCTCTGCAACTGCGCAGACTTCATCATTCATTCATTCATTCTCTCTCTCTGTCTCTCTCTCTCTCTCTCTCACTTGGATTTCAGCTGTAAAGTGAGCATCATTCCTTTATCTACTATAAATATATGTGCATTTCTATCATGTCAAATTACTGCAATTTACATTTAATCGGGATTTTACTTTTTCAGTAATTACAGACGGCGAGGTGATTGATGGACCAGGCTTTTTACTCTGATTTTTTGCCATTTCAGGTTTGATTCTTCGCTGCCAACGGTCCGCAGAGTCCAGCTAAGATCTGTATGCAAACAACATACCAAAACTGGTAGGGAGAGGAAGCTCTCTCTCTCTCTCTCTCTCTCTCTCTAGTTCAACTACATGGAGAAGAGAACAAACGGGCATTGGGCTTTTAATCGAGACGAACAATTTTAGATTTTTGAGCAGCAACTTCCAGTGAATTTTTGAGGTGTGCCATCATTTGGTTGTTTAGGGCCTCATTTATATATAAACTTTTTCTTTGTTTGAATGTTGACAAACTAATTAATCATCTCACCTTTGAGATGTATGGACATGAAAATATGAAGATTATGTTATAATCCTTATAACGCATCAATTGGACTATGTGTTTCCAAGATTTTGAAGACCAAACTATACATGAGAAAAGAGTAGCTGCTATAGAAATTTGGACTCTCTTAGAATTAACAATAACCGATGTCAGGATGTCTCAAATAATCGAGTGGCAAAACAAAGAATGATAAAATTATAT